GCTGTTTCCCCGCGGCGCCCAGGGACCGTGCTCCGCGCTGTGCTCTGTGCCGCGGCCGCTCTGTGCTGCAGCGGGCACTGGCAGTGCCGCCCGGCGCCGCGGCCTCCCTTTGTGCGGGCCGGCGCTCTCGCTGACATTGTCCCCGCGGTGCCCGGCGGCGCGCGGAGCCTCGGGCAGAGGCGCTGCCGCCGCGGGGCCGGGGCTGCGGGCGCCACTGCACGGGCAGGGCTGCGCACCGGGTGCTGCAGCCGCGGGGCCGGGGCTGTGGGCACCGTGGCACAGGGCAGGGCTGAGCGTGGGGGCCGTGGGCATCGCCGGGGGCCGGGGCTGTGCGCCGGGCCCTGTCACCACAGGGCCGGGGCTCTGTGGCCTCCACCCCGGGGTGCACATCCTGGCAGTGCAGCCCTGCTGCTGCCGCCCACTGCGCGTGGATGGGGTGCGCGGGGAGCGGAGCGGCGCCGGCACAGCGCATGGGGTGCGGTGGGGAATTTGCTGGGTGCCCAGCGCGCAGGAGGGCAGTGCTGGTGCCAGCCCCAGGACACGAGGTGCAGTGGGCGGCTTTGCCCGGTGCGCAGCAGGGCAGTGGTAGGGAGCAGCCGTGCCCTGCCCGCCCCTGGCGTCTGCCCGGGCCGCGGGGCGCTTTGTGTCGGGCTGCTCGCGGGGTCGGGGCCGGAGGGTCAGCGGGCGCCGCGGGCACCTCCGCGCAGCCTCTTGGGGTTGAACCCAGCGCCGCCGCAGAGCTGGAGCCGGCGCCACGGGGCTCTGCGCACGGAGGGGCAGCTCCGGGCTGCGCTCCTCATCCCGCGGGCAGAGGCTGTGGCACTGCCGCCCTGACAGTGCCCGGGGTCCGCACGGCTGTGCTGCTGCTGCTGGGGCTCTGTGAGGCCGTGCTGCTGTGAAGGCCGTGGTGCTGTCTGGGGCTGTGGTGGTACTGGGGCCGTGGCGCTGCCAGGGCTGTACGGGGCCGTGGCGCTGCCAGGGCTGTATGGGGCCGTGGCGGTACCGGGGCCGTGGCGCTGCCAGGGCTGTACGGGGCTGTGGCGGTACCGGGGCCGTGGCGCTGCCGGGGCTGTACGGGGCTGTGGCGGTACCGGGGCCATGGCACTGCCAGGGCTGTATGGGGCCGTGGCGCTGCCGGGGCTGTCTGGGGCCGTGGCGGTACCGGGGCCGTGGCGCTGCCGGGGCTGTACGGGGCTGTGGCACTGCCAGGCTGCAGCACGCAGCCTGCGGGCGCTGCCCTCCCCGAGCTCGCTACCCGGGCGGGCAGCCCTGCTGCAGCCGGGCAGGCTGCGTGAAGCCTCCCGACTCTTCTGTCCTGGTGCCGCAGGGGTCCCTGGCGCTGCCGGCTCCCGCGGAGGCCGGTGCTGAGGGCCGTGGTGCAGCCTGCTCAGAGTGGGCGCTCAGCAGGGCAGTGCTGGAGGGGCTTCTGCCCCGGGCGTGCGGCGCCAGGGCTGCCGAGCTGCAGGATTGCGGGACAGAGCGGAGCAGAGCTCTTTGCTCTGCCCTGTGCCCCGCTCCGCGTGGTGGCTCCCGCTCCTCGGAGCCCTTCCCGCCTGTTGGCAGCCGCTCACGCTGCTCCTGGTGTCGCCCGCAGGCTCCCGGCGCCAGGATGAGCGCGGAGGCGGGCGGCAAGCCCCTCAAGGTGGGCTCCCGCGTGGAGGTCATCGGCAAGGGGCACCGCGGCACCGTGGCCTACGTGGGCGCCACGCTCTTCGCCACCGGCAAGTGGGTCGGCGTCATCCTGGACGAAGCCAAGGGCAAGAACGACGGCACCGTGCAGGGCAGGAGGTACTTCACGTGCGAGGAGAACCACGGCATCTTCGTGCGGCAGTCGCAGGTGGGCGCCCGCGGGCACGGGACATGCTGTCCTGGCGGGACGGGTGCACGGGGCGGGATGGGCGCATGGAGTGGGATGGGCACATGGAGCAGGATGGGCACACGGAGGTATCAGCAGTGGCCTTGAAGGAGGAGCGGAGATCAGAAGAGGGGGTTTCGGAAGGGAGGCTGATGTTGCTGTGGGGCTGCCGTGGCATAAAGAGGTTCTGGTGCCCGTTTTATCTCTCTGGAGAGACCTTTGGGATAAACTCCATGCCGTGGCGTTGGGATCTTGCGCAGCCCCTGGGCTCTTGCCAGCAGCAATAGCACTGTTGGGTGTGGAAGCGTCTGTGCATCTGAGGGCTCCCGTGGCACCAACTGCGCGTGGCTGCGGCCAGGACCCTCCAGCAGGAACGTGCTCCCTTGCTGCACCGCATGGTGCACGTGGCACAGCCCCCGTGAACCCATGAGGGGCCTGGAGCAGCTCCCGTGTGAGCAGGGCCCGAGCGAGCGGGGCCTGAGCAGGAGGCCGAGAGGGCCCTGGTCAGTGTGCCCGCGCACCCGAGGGGAGGACGGAGGGAGGAAGGGCCGAGCTCTGCTCCGGGGTGGCCGGTGCCAGGACCAGGGCCAGTGGGTGCAGGTTGGACCCCGGGCAGCTCCATGTGCCCGTGGGGAAGAACAAGGTGACTGTGAGGAGGGTGCCCAGCCCTGGCCAGGCTGCAGATCCTGCTCTGCAGATCTGCCAACGCGCCAGGATGGAGCGGGTGTCCCGTGCCCTGGGTGTCCCTGTGGAGCAGGGGCTGCGCTGGGGGATCCCTGGGGGTCCCTGCTAACATCACCCACTCTGGGATTCGGGGATTTCCAGGCATGATTTCATTCCATCTCCCTGTTCCTTTTCATCAGGCACCTTTGCCCAATGCAATCTGTGACTTTGCAGATTTTACTGCTTATTTTTTGACTGAGCTGCTGTGCTTGAGGTTTCCACCCGCTGCATAGGACAAGGGGCTGTAGGGCACAACTCGGGTAGCGCTGACTTTGTAGGGTGGGGAGATGGCTCGCAGGGTGATCTAGTCCTTTCCAGTTCTGTTTACTACTTCTATCAAGCAGCAGAATGTTCAAAACTATTGGACAAAGAGCAAAACGTATCTCTATCCCTCAGCCGTTAGATAACGCAGCTCAAACGTGAGAGGGTGTCTGTTGGTGCCTGCTGGGATTCACCAGCACGCCAGGCAGCTGGCAGCATTCGTTATAAAAGTAATATAAAATGTAAGAAAAAGGAGAGGGAGGCCGGGCCAGGCCGTGGCTGTGCCGGCAAGCTGGGCTGCTGCAGCTGCCCTGCTCCACAGGAACGCGGTTTGCCTCAGAGAGTGGGAAGGGGGGCCGTGAGAGACGCAGATGCACCTTTTTGTAGGCTAAAACATCAGCTTTCCGTCAGGAATCGGTGCCGGGGAATCACTGGCAGCCCAGGCTCCATGAGCTGGTCGCTGCACAGAATGAGCGTAAACCTGGGAAAGATTTTCTGGTCTGAGGTTTGACTGTCCTTGCTCCCCACCTGAGTAGTGGGCGCCTTTCGGGAAGCTGTGGGAGGAGGAGGAGGATGGGGCACGCGACCTTCAGTAAGTGCGTTACAGTGTGCCTCGAAGCTGTGGTGCGCCCTGCGGAGCCGGGCCTGCTGCAAAGCGCTCTCCTTCTCTTGTACTCAGAGCTGCTGGTCTTTTCTCAGATCCAGGTTTTCGAGGATGGAGCTGATACCACGTCCCCCGAAACGCCCGAATCTTCGGCCTTGAAGGTCCCCAAGAGAGGTAGGGGCGTTTGCACCGTGAGCAGCGTGTCACCCACACGGGGACCCCCCGGATCAGCCGCAGGAGGAGGCTCCTGGGTGCCGGGGGACCGCGTGGCCGGGGGGCTGAGCTGGGTGGGAGTGGGGGGTGCCCACGCTGCCTGGCGCCGCACGGCCCCGTGGGCTGCATTGCACTGCCCAGCACCACGTGGCCCTGTCGCCCACAGGGCCCGTCGGCTGCTGGGCGCTGTGCCCGGCGCCGCGGTTCCCCCCGCCCGGGCCGGCCCCGTGCGCTCTGCGTGGCTGCTGTGCTGCCCTTGCAGCGCTCGCACCCGCAGTGCCTGCTCCTGCTCCTGTTCCCTGGGGCGCGGGGAGACGGTGGGTGCTCCCACATGGACCCACACCGAGCAGGGCCACCCGGCAGGGGAGCGCCCTGCGGCACGAGTGCCACTCACTGCAGCGGCGCCCGTGCTCCCGGAGCAGCAGGAATGCCCCTCTGCCAGCCCCCACTGCCCCCGGCTCAATGTGGGATGCTCCCGCAGATCGGGGACCTTCCAAAGGACGGAGGCCACTCCTGTGGACAGGGCATCCTCCCCCAGATGCCCCTGTGGGATGCAGATGCCCCTGCAGATGGGAGCCACTTGCAGGAGGTGGCAATGGGCACTCACTCCCTTGGTGCTCGGGCTGCGCCTGCTCCTCGAGGGCATCTGAGCTCTCAGCAGCACCCAGTGGCTGCAGGGGTCCCCTTGGGATCATCCCAGCCCCTTGAATTCCTCTCTGCTGGAGTTGCCCAGTTTGCATGAGCAACTCAATGGGGCAACGTTCGACGCAGGCCGGGCTGGGGGCGCCTGGTGCAGCTTTTCCTCTTTCTCCTCCTTTTTCAAGACATGGGTACACGGTGGGCAAGGCTCGGGCCGTGGCTCACGGCTCTCCCTGTGTTTCCCTCTGCAGATTCCCTGGAAGCGGCCAAGGGCAGCAAGCTGGTGAGTGCCTGGCAGTGCCGCAGCGTGCGCCGTGCCGGGAAGGGCTGCGTGGCGCGGCTCCCTTTGCCAAACTAGCCGTGTCCCCCCGCGAGCCCCGCTCTGCCCGTGTGCGGGAGCACTGTGGGGACACGCGGCAGCCTGTGGGACACACAGCAGCCTGGAGGGACACGCGGCAGCCTGGGGGGACACAGGCAGCCTGGGGGACACGCGGCTGCCTGTGGGGATGTGGCAGCCTGCAGGAGGGCCAAGCTTTGCCCACCCACCCCTTGCTCTGCTCTTTCACTCCTGCACCCTAACAGTGATAATAATAATGCCGGGGTGAAATGTATGTCTTCTGAGGGAACACGGGGGAAACGAGGCCGCCCAAAAAGTAATCTCTTCAGCTAGTGAGCAGAATTACCAGTGCAGCAGGTGCCTGTTTTTGCGCAAATATGCGGTGTGTTTGGGGTGACAACAGGTATGTGGCAGGAGGAGCTCTTTTTTCCGGTGATTGTGACCCAAACCAGGCTCGATTAAGTAGCTCATTAAGAGCAAGTGCAGAGAGGAGGCCGGGTTTGTGTGTGGCGCTGGGCGCTGCGCAGCTCCCTGCGCCCAGCACCGCCGCCTCCCTCCGGCCGCTGGCTCGGGGACGCCCGGGCCCGTCCCAGGCCGCTCCTGCCGGCTCGTGGGGTTTGTGTCGGCCGGAGCAGCCCAGCCCAGAGCCCTGTTCCCTGGGGCTGCCGTGAAGCAGCCTCCGTCCCGCGGGAGCCCCGTGCCCGCCTGCCACGCGGGCTGCATGCCGAGGGCACCGTGGCGTGTTGGGAAGAGCGCAGCACCGGGAAGCGTCCCGGCGTTGCTGCACTCGGCACGGCAGCGCCCGTGCTTATCAGTGCTGGGAGCTGCTGAGCCTCCCGGCGGGTTGTGGGGAGCCCGAAGCGGGCAGCCCCATGGCGCTCTGGGGCACACGTTGGGCGTGCGGCGGTGCCCGCTGCTCGCAGGCGCCCTGCGCTCCCTGCACATGAGGCTGCGTCTCCCTTCTCGCCGCCCTTGGGCACACTGGGCATGTGGTGGTGCCTGCCACGCGTATGTGCCCTGTGCTGCTGCGGCGCCAGGGTGAATCTCTTTTCCTGGAGCCCTTGGACACGTGTTGGGCATGTGGCGGTGCCCGCTGCTCGCAGGCACCCTGCGCTGCTGCCACGTGAGGCTGTGTCTCCTGCAGCCCGCGGTGCTGCTGCGGTTGCTCCTGTTCCAGCGGGAGGTGCCGGGCGCTCCATCCAGCGGCTCCGCGACGAGGAGCCCGAGTTGGCGGCTTGGCTTTGCTGAATTTCAGGTGGTGCAGCGGGCACGAGGCTGCCCAGGGTGCGGTGAGGCGCGGGGCGAGTGAGGGTGCCCGGCGGCGGCTGCTTCAGCTGCGGGAGCCGGTGCCCGGGCGGGAAGGGGGCTCCGTGCGCCGCCTGCCCCTCGTCCCGGCCGCTGCAGCGCCCGCCAGCACGTGGCAGGCAGCAGCCGGGCTGGCCCTCGGGCTGGGACTCACAGCTGGCCTTGGCGCGGCGGGGCCAGCCCTGGTGTCCCTATGGCAGGATTGTCCCTCACGTCCCCACGTCCCTCATGTGCCCACAGCAGGAAGGTCCCTAATGTCCCTGCAGTGGGAACGGCCCTTGTGTCCCCATGGCGGGAAGGTGCCTGCGGGAGAGCTCGGAGCGCTTTGGATCCCGCCGCCACCACCCCCTTGGCACAGGGGTCCGTGTGGGGCCGTCCAGGCGGGACGAGGGGAGCCGGCTCCCTGCCGCAGGAATCCGGCGTCCAGGCAGCCCCGGGGTCAGGACCTGAGCCCTGTGCGGCCGGGGATGCTCCGGGCTGCGTGTCCTGCAGTGCCGGCCGTTTCAGGCCCTTGGACGGGGCCGCGTGACACTGGGCAGCATCGCAGGGATGGGAGTGCCTTGGGTGCTGGTCCCCAGCACCTGCAAGGTCTCCCTTGGGTGCCGCTGGACTGTGCGCCGCTCTGGGCTGTCCCCAGCACTGTCACTGAGGTGGGAGCCGAGCCCGGGCCCTGCCGGAGCTCGGGACTTGCCTCGCAGGAAGGGAGCAGCGAGGGCAGAGGCGCAGGCGCCAGCGGCCCTGTCTGGGCAAGTGCTGCAGGGCCTTGGGTGGCCCTGGGGACAGCAGCTCCATGGGAGCAGCCGGGCGCAGGGACAGCAGCTCCGTGGGAGCAGCCGGGCGCAGGGACAGCAGCTCTGTGCGCACAGCCGGGTGGCAGCGGTGCCGGTAGGTGTCAGTGCAGGCCAGCGTGGTGGCCCTGTGGCTGGGCTCCGTGCAGGGCGCGCGGGGCCCCACGGAGCTGCGCGGCGGCTCTGTCTGTGTGCGGAGGGCAGCCCCGCAGCCGCAGTGCCTCTGCCGGCCCTGGGCGCTGCCTGGCGCCTGCAGCGCTCACCCTCCATGCGCTTTGCAGTGCCAGGGCCGCGCGCAGGGCAGGCGGCTCCCGCGCACCTTGGCCTTGGAGCTGCCCCTTGGAAACGCAGCACTCCGGAGCGTTGCTCGCGAGCGGCTCCCGTGGGGCGCTCCAGAGCGGTGCTCGCGAGCGGCTCCCGTGCATCACTCGGGAGCG